AATTAAAAAGACATGTTTTACAGTAATTCTTTCATCAACGAAAACTCAGATGTATGCTACAAGAACAGAATTTTCATGTCTTTATTAATCATATTCCAATGTATTTATCAATATACATTATCAAACAACAATTCTAAAAATTATATTTTCTCATAAATTAAGACAGCAAGCAGACTATCACATAATTTCATCCTTATAAATACCTTCAACTTAGTATACCCCCCGGTAACACCAAATATTTATTTATTTATTTATTTATTGATTTATTTATTGTTGTTTTAAACATTATACTGGTGTGTAATATTTTCACTGATTCTCTGTCATAAGTAACTTCAAGTGAATTAGTAAGACTCTAAAAAATTTAATTTTCAAGTTTCTGGTCATCAAGCACATCAATTCAAAATGTGCATGTCAAAGATTTTTTTTTATTGATTTTTTTTTATCAGAGTTATCAAAAAAAACAAAAAACATAAATTTTCATGAAAAATCAAAATAAAAGCACATTTTTTATGTCAATTTCAAAACAAAAAATATGTAAATGTGAAGTCAAATAACTGCAAACAAAATGGAAATACAGTGGCCCCTCGCTAAGTCGCGCCTCGGTAAGTCGCGATTCGGCTAAGTCGCGGGTACTTGGATGGCTCCCAAAATTTCTATTGTGTTTTGACGGCAGTTTTGAAGTACAAAGACTAATGTTTCGTGGCATAGTGTTTTTAACTAACCGTTAAAGAGACAACTTAACACCCACTGTCCGTCAATTGCTGAGACGAAATGGGTGACGGCGGCCTTACTCAAGGTGTCAACAGGGGTGTCGAGTAGTGACCGTACATACTTCTTGGCCGGTCCCATTTGGTATACCTCTAAAAAAACTCGCCACAATGAGTTGAATTCATAGAATTCTGATCTCTATTTCTCAATTGAGCAGCATGTCAAAGCAAAAGCTATCCAGCCTGTTCGTACGCCATAAACTCACGGCGATCGACCGTGTCAAGTAGAAGTGAAACCAAGTTATGGGTTGCACGTGATCTAGCCGTGGTTGAGCCCACTATTCGTGGGTGGGTAAAAAATGAAAAGTAAATTTGTTTTCAAAGTTGACTGAACAGAAAAACATGCGAAAGTGTCCTACAATGATGACACCAATAAAGCTGTTTACGTTTCTTTAAGAACGGTCTGCCGGAACTCCACTATCTGGTCTCATCACCCAATGCAAAGCATACAACTCAGATATGACGACTTTGAATTTGAGGCCAGTTCAGGGTGGTTCTTGCGATGGCAAAGAGGACACGCTATCGACACACGCAGTCTCAATCCAAGCTCGATCTGTGAACATGGGCGCTGTCAGAACTTTTCCCGAAAAACTGAGAGAAATTATCTATGAAGGTGGTTATTTTGACGAACAAGTTTATAATTGCGATGAAACTGGTTTATTTTGGAAGCTGTTACCGTCGAAGTCGCAAGCAACAGCAAGCGACCCACATAATATCGGACACAAACAAAATAATCAACGCAATGTTTACAGCAAACATAATCATGATTTTATTCGAATACTACCTGACACATATGATGATACATCAATTAGCTAAACCGAGGATTTATATGCGCTTTTTATATGTTTTTCAATGCACGATCTCCCTCTTTCACGAGGTCCCTCGGTAAGTCGCGGCCCTCGATAAGTCGCGGTTTTTGCTTGGATCCCGACACCCGCGACTTAGCGAGGGGCCACTGTAATACCATGCAATTAATTGATTAATTTCGTGTGAACATTTTTTCTAGTTTAAGAAATTGTTAGTTTGCCAATCATCTTTTAATACTGGAAAGTTAATACGTCTGATTATGCTAATGGAATTGTGTTTGCATTAATACGTAATAAAGTTTTCGGCTATATTCTTCCCCATGGCATGTATGCATCGCTGACAGCTACCATTGTGTTGATTGTTCTATAAATAAATATCAAGCTACTCCATGCATACCATATCAAGTGTAAAGAAAACACAGAGTTTTGCATAATACTACCTGAATCCAGTCGGTACCCGATAGAGCGGATAGAGGCACTGCAAAGACTATGCAATGTATAAGACAAGACTCTTTCATTAGTTGTCTCGACCATGTCATGTTTTCTCGCAATGGAGTGTTTACATAACACTCATAACTTAATAAGTTTATGTAGTATATACACCTGAGATAAAAGGAATCATTTGACAGGGATTTTGTATTCTCATTGCATTTCATGGCGGTACTTATACCAAGTACTAGAGATGTTCAGTAACGATGACTTAAGAGATCTTAGGGTCTAGGTCTAGTAGTCATAACAGTATAATGCTATTTTTGTGTCAATTGTACAGAGCGCATTAATTATTAGGGATAGCGATTCTACGACGTCTCGTGGGGATACCGCGTATATTACACATGCAATTGTAAGTTGGTTTAATAGTTGTGCACTTGTAGGCTAATTTGATTGAATTAATTCCTTTGGGAAGTTAGATTAATTCGCAGACATCATCATTATATTTTCCCTGCATGTATATTATTATTAAGGGCTTAAATAGTTTTAACCTCACAATGCACTTTAAACGTGTCTGCACTTTTCTATTTGACTACCGAGTGTTTCATTTTTATTTACAGAATTCAGGGAAGCATTTGCATTGTTTGACAAAGATGGGGACGGTACCATAACAACTAAAGAATTGGGGACCGTCATGCGGTCATTAGGTCAAAACCCAACAGAGGCTGAGCTCCAAGATATGATTAACGAAGTCGATGCTGATGGTAAGAAGACTCGGCAGATTATACTTTACTATCCAAATAATCGCCAAAGTCTTTAATACATACAACGTCCACTCGCAAATGAATAATGAATCATGTATTTACCAAGTTATGCATTTAAGTCCTCAAATCTGTATTATTTACACTCTGGACTTCCACTTGCTTGGTAAACTTACGTTGAGTGTCATGTACCATTCGGCTTCCACTTGCTTTGTAAAGTCATGATGAATGTCATCTACCAATGGACTTCCTCTTGCTGGGTACAGTCTTGTACAGTGTCATCTACCACTGGGATTCCCCTTGTTTTGTACAGTCATAGAGAGTGTCGTCTGTTGATGAAGTTCGACTTGCTGGGTACAGTCTTGTAGAGTTCCGTCTACAACTAGGCTTTGACTTGATGGGTACAGTCTTGTAGAGTTCCGTCTAACACTAGGCTACCACTTGCTGGGTATAGTCTTGTAAAGTTCCGTCTGCAACTAGGCTTCCACTTGCTGGGTACAGTCTTGTAGAGTGTCATCTACCACTGGGATTCCCCTTGTTTTGTACAGTCATAGAGAGTGTCGTCTGTTAATGAAGTTCCACTTGCTGGGTACAGTCTTGTAGAGTTCCGTCTATAACTAGGCTTCCACTTGCTGGGTATAGTCTTGTAGAGTTCCGTCTAACACTAGGCTTCCACTTGCTGGGTACAGTCTTGTAGAGTTCCGTCTACAACTAGGATTCCACTTGCTGGGTACAGTCTGTAGAGTCCGTCTAACAATAGCTTCCACTTGCTGGGTACAGTCTGTAGAGTTCCGTCTAACACTAGCCTTCCACTTGCTGGGCGGAGTCATATTGAGGGTCATCAAACCACTTGACTTCATCTTAACTTTCCTAGTACAATAATACATTCACACCTGGGTATCTGTAAAGGGACCCTCCACATAACTACCCAGCATGTCTAGTGAGTTTATGACTCCCTACGTGGCTGTACCAAGCGTATGTAAGCCTAGGTTTTTTTAGTATCACCTATGCGGTGGTATTGTGGTCCTGTTTCCTGTAAATACTAGTCGTCTTTTTTATTTATTTATTTATTTATTTATTTATTTATTTATTTATTTATTTATTTATTTATTTATTTATTTATTTATTTATTTATTTATTTATTTATTTATTTATTTATTTATTTATTTGTTTATTTGTTTATTTATTTATTTATTTATTTATTTATTTAAAATTGAAAATTACAGTCTACATGACTGTGTACAGCAAGTAAAAACATATATTAACGAAAATGTTTCTGTCGGATAACAGTGGAATCTTAACAAAAAAAGGTGATATATCAATACCATTTAATTATATCAATTTTAGGCAATGGCACAATAGATTTTCAAGAATTCAACGTCATGATGGCAAAGAAAATGAAAGAAACAGACCAAGAAGAGGAACTTCGAGAGGCGTTCCGGGTATTTGATAAAAACGGAGATGGGTTCATCAGCGCCGAGGAATTACGGCATGTCATGAAAAATTTAGGCGAAAAACTGACAGATGATGAGATTGAGGAAATGATCCGTGAGGCAGATGTCGATGGCGATGGGCAGGTCAATTATGAAGGTAGGTATGTCTATACTGTCTATACGTGACATACAGTGCACCGTTGCACGTACCGTGATGGTCTAGACATTTGAAGACACTAAATATTGAACTTAATTTGCGATATCAAAAAAATTAATTTATAATTAATAAATAATAATTATTTTTCTTGTTTTTATTCTATACAGAATTCGTAACAATGATGTCATCAAAGTGAGTGTCACGGAGACACAGATTATGAAGATCTTTGATCATACTCCTCGTGTATGTTAATTAAATAACCGCATGTGATTGCGTTTTTCAATAATTGATCACCTTTCTTCTAACGTTCACCTTTGATCATATATGGTTATAATTATCACATTATACGCTTTGGTTGGATAAAAATTGTGCCACTTAATGCAGGTTTTATGATCATCGCGAAACCATTGTTCTGATTGACAAACGGTGTACGTAGTGGATCAACTTTAATTGCTCATACATGCCTATAAGTCGTAACACTCAACGATATGTGCAAGCAAGCGCGTCAAAGCCAGCAACACTTTTGCTGGGTATTCACTCTATGTAGCTACATGCATGCTGTATTCTTACACAGTCATCTATGTATCTACCTATAGCTATGTGCTGTTTTCCCTCACCGTGTCTGTCCAACTATATTCGGACACTTGGTGGCGCTATGATACTTTATGTCAGTAAATAATCGAACATGCTAGCAAAACTATACTTTACTGACATTCACGTCAGTGTTTAATTGTCCCTGTGTACAGTGTTAATTGTTGAACAGCGGACATATATGAATCTTTAATCTTATTATTATTATTTTAACACTAATATATACTGCACTGTTACTGTGTTTTTATATTATGTAAATATGTGCTACTATATTCTGTGTTTCACCGTGACATGTATGCCAAGCATACACATTTTTCTTATCGGTAGCATTAATTAGTTTGTCTTGTCGCAAATTCACGACAGAGATAATTAAAAGTTAATATTTAAATGACAATCGTTCCTATAATTACTAGCTACTCAATACATAATTGTAACTTGTTGTCATGTTCTGTAATAGTTTGCTATATTACGCCTATTTAGGTATTTTATTTTATTTTCGGGTAAATGTTTTTGAAATATGTGATTAAACATTGCTTTACTGTGTGTGGTCATATTGTTATTGCCCTTTGTGATACGTATATAATTAGACATTGAGGGTATGAATTGAATACTTAATTGCACTGGGCTGACATATACATCTCGAGTGGTGGTTGGCCATCATGATGGTCTTTCGTGTTGGCGTATATGTATGCAGTACAGTCCACCGAATAAATTAAACATTCACGTGAGGGCGCAACGACAATTGAAGTATTCTTTTGGAGAAAAATACACATGTCTTACAGACATACAAATGAAAGTGGCCAAAAATAGTTGGACACTAGAACCATTCTACTAAATGCAGCCAGTGAACGAATACTACCAATACTATTACTGAGTACTCTCATGTCGGCTGGAGATGTTATCTCGGTGTGGGTACTGTTGGTTAGATACAAAAATAGTCTAGTAAATAATAAATAAATAAAGTATGAATTACTACACATTCCCTGTATATGTGTATGAAGTATTCCCTAGCATTCATTCTATGCAGCTACATGTATGCTGTACACCTCACATACCTCTATGTAATTTATTATCCCTTTACACCCTTCTATGAAGCTACATGTATGCTGTATACCTCACATACCTCTATGTAATTTAGTATTCCTTTACACCCTTCTATGAAGCTACATGTATGCTGTATACCTTCACACCCCTCTATGTAATTTAGTATCCCTTTACACCCTTCCATGTAGCTACATGTATGCTGTATACCCTCACATCCCTCTATGTAATGTATTATCCATTTACACTTCTATGTAGCTACGTGTATGCTGTATACCCTCACATCCCTCTATATAATGTATTATCCCTTTACACCCTTCTATGTAGCTACATGTATGCTGTATACCCTCACATCCCTCTATGTAATTTATTATCCCTTTACATCCTTCTATGTAGCTACATGTGTGCTGTATACCCTCACATTCCTCTATGCAATTTATTATCCCTTTACACACTTCTATGTAGCTACATGAGTGCTGTATACCCTCACAACCCTCTATGTGATTTAGTATTCCTTTACACACTTCTATGTAGCTACATGAGTGCTGTATACCCTCACATCCCTCTATGTAATTTAGTATTACTTTACACCCTTCTATGTAGCTACATGTGTGCTGTATACCCTCACATCCCTCTATGTCATTTATTATTCATTTACACACTTCTATGTTGCTGCGTGTATGCTGTATACCCTCACATCCCTCTATGTAATTTAGTATTCCTTCGCAACCTTCTATGTAGCTACATGTATGCTGTATACCCTCACATACCTCTATGTAATTTAGTATTCCTTCACATACTTCTATGTAGCTATATGTGTGCTGAATACCCTCACATCCCTCTATGTAATTTAGTATTCCTTCACATACTTCTATGTAGCTATATGTGTGCTGAATACCCTCACATCCCTCTATGTAATTTATTATCCCTCTACATCCTTCTATGTAGCTACATGTATGCTGTATACCCTCACATCCCTCTATGTAATTTTTTATCCCTTTACACCCTTCCATGTAGCTACATGTGTGCTGTATACCCTGACATCTCTCTATGTAATTTAGTATTGTTTTACTTACACCCTTCTATGTAGCTACATGTTTGCTATATACCCTCACATCCCTCTATACAATGTATTATCCCTTTACACCCTTCTATGTAGCTACATGTATGCTGTATACCCTCACATCCCTCTATGTAATTTAGTATTCCTTTACACGCTTCCATGTAGCTACATGTGTGCTGTATACCCTTACAGTCCTCTATGTAATTTAGTATTCCTTCACATCCTTCTATGTAGCTACATGTATGCTGTATACCCTCACATCCCTCTATGTAATTTAGTATTCCTTCACATCCTTCTATGTAGCTACATGTATGCTGTACACC